AATTCCAAAAGTTTTCACGTACAATTTTAGAGAAGTAGAAGGTGGAACTGTAGAAGTAGGCAAGCATAAAACGGCTAACCTATTTTATATTAATATATGCTCGACAGATATTAGTGAGTTCGCGATACTTACTATCGTAGAGTACGAGATAAACAAATTAATTAGTTTAGTACCTGTACAGATAAAAAAAAAAGAGCTGATACTGTTAATGAGTTTGCCACTATTGATGATAGGATAAATTTAAGTTGCATAAAATTATTGAATTTATATTTATATTTAACGATCAATCATTTTCCAATGAAATATGATTCTGAGCTAAGTCAAGTTATATGTTTTACAATGTCGTAACTTTCACGATTATTACGAACTTTTTTTTATCTCTAAGTATAACTTATAATAAACCTTGTGTTGAATTTTTAGGCATTATTGTTTGGTCAGAAAATTTTATACTCATTGATATTATGTGGAAAATAAAAACTAAAAAAAAGAAACTGTCTTAGGATAATGGAAACCGATGAAGCCATTGTTGTAGGTGGAATTTTGGGAAGTTAGAATACAAAAAAGAATTTAATTTATAAATTATTTGTTTATTTTTAATCTGTAACAATGTATACTTTTCATTTCATTCATATTATTTAATGTTATTTTTAAGTCATTTATTTTTATCTATTTAATAACTGTACTTCAGCCTTCAGCGTAAACTCAAATAAATAAATAAATTTGCAAGTAATGATAAACTATTGCTTACGAACAAATCTTATCCTTAATTTTGAAAAGGAAATTTACTTGGAGTATTGAGGTCATTTCTCGATTTTTCTACGAATTTTCTCAACAACTGTAAAAAACCGGAAAAGTTGGGAAGGTAGGGTAAGGTTATTTCATTTATATCTGTAAGCAACGATAAGCTATTGCTGACGAAAGACAATTCCGAGCGCAGTTCGGTAATACATAATTTGAACTGCGGTAATTTGTTTTGCGATTTTCATTTAAATTTGATTATTTTTATTATATCTGGAAATATTCAAGAGGTGTATTTTCGTGGGACAGCCTATATATAAATAACTTTTTTATTTTACAGAATCGACATTAAGTTTAAAACCTACTCTGTGATATATTCAATCATTTTAAAAAACCTGCATGTCGATTAGATAATTAGTTCATAATTTTCGTATTTATATTTATAAAATGTATTAAATAACTAAGGTTTATTCGGTTTTATTTGAATAATCTATATATAATCGATGTATAAATAAGTTTATAATTGCCAATGATTAATAATAGTTTCTAAATATTACCAAAATGTATAAATTAATTAATCAAACGAATGGCGTTTAATACAATGTAATCCTATGTATGGTTTATAAAATTTGAAGGAGGGAAAAAATAAGTGGGACGGTAATTCCGGTATTGGCGTTAATTAATTATTATTATATTCGTTGTTTTTAATATGAAAGCGACAACTTATTATCGCATTCAAAAAACGATTTCGAGCTGAGTTTAGAATATATAAAATCGGTAAACGTTTTCGTTATTTGTGTTTCTACAATCAACTCTTTGAAAACACTTACCTATATAATAATACTACTTTAATACTGAAACGAAATTCGGAAAGTCGCTTTTTATTACATGATACATATTTATATTCGGTTACCAATCCTACATTCCAATACAGTGTTATTCAAAATGATTCATCCGCTATGAAATAATTTAATATTTTTAGTTTTTAGTTTTATAATAATTAGTAATAATAATATGTTAATTAAAAGAAAAATATTTTTAATTTAGTTAACGGTACATCGTACATATAAATGTTCTATGTAACTTCCAATGTTCATACCAGCAACATCTGGTCGGATTGCGTTCCATATTATCCTCGGATACCCAAGAATTCCTTGAGATTTTTCCTTTGTACAAATACCCAATTTTTTCAAACTGCTTAAACATTCGACAAATGATCAGTTGATGCATCGATCTTGTAACAATGACGAAAATAAAAAAAATGACTCTGTGCTGTCGGGTAGTTTTAATTGTTTATTCTGTGAATAAAATTGTTTCGCAATTTATGAATGCTTAAAATTTAATAAGAGGTTCTTTATAAGGTGTAGTAATAGTACTATATATTGCCACTAAGTACACTAATTACTCGAACATGGACGACTCGGGCAGGTCCGAGGGCAGTGTAAAAAAACGCTGGCTAGACCCTCAAGGTTTTTCCGGACTTGAGAATATGAGTGACGGGTTATATTAAGGACCTTACCATACATGTCACCCAACAGAGAACAACTTGCAAACAAAAAAAGTCTATAAGTAAAAGCTTAAAGAATAACAAAATGTGTTAAAAATTTGACCACTTCTAGAAAAAGCAAATATAATATGACTGCCAAAATTTAAATTTAATAAAATGGAACATTATTTCGGTAAATTGTTCTATTCATTCTACGTTTTTTTACGGTTTTGCTCAATTATTAAGAAAACTAAATGGAAAATCAAAAACCGACTTTCTTACTCATTAATAAAGAAAACAAAATACAATAAAAAACCTCTCTTGGAATTAAGCAGTATTTCTGGAAGAAAATAAAGTATGTATGAAAATCGGTAGTGCCGTGGCGGGTTATAAATATTAGCTGTGTTTCTTAATTATTTTAAAAACTCCATTGGAAAATCAAAAATTATCTCTTTAACGTACCATCTAAATCCATAATATTGGATCCCATCATTTTTCGATTGGAGCAAGTTTTATGTTCGGAAAGGTCTTTAGAGACAGAAAAACAACCCACATATAACTATATTTTTTTAAAGTGGTCGTAAAAATGTTTGTAAAAACTTGATATTTTGATAGTAAAATTTTATTGGCCTTCTCTAGGCCTTTTTCCTAGACCTTCGGTAGGTACCATGTGGATAAAATTGTTTTACCAAACCGAAATGCTTCAAAATTTAACGCAAGGATTATAAATTGTACTTAGTAGTAGGTAAAAAAAAAGGTTGAACGTAACGTTTAGTAGTTTAATATTATTTTCTACCAGAAATCTTGCTCTTAATTTAACATTTCAAATATCGCACCTTTCCTGAAAGGAAATTTTGTCTGGGTGATACTTGAAACTGATTATTTCTCAGGGTTTAATTAATAAATGAGGAAAACTAGGAAAAAATATGGGGAAAATGGGAAGATTTACGAAATGTTTTCAAATCATAAATATTACGGCATTTTAAAACATGTCTACTGAATTCCAAGCAGAATCGTTCTTCGTTAGCAAAGATTAATTTTTGCGTACAGATATACATTAAATTTCCCCTTTACCTTCCTAACTTCTCACCCATCAATCGTGGGAAGTATGTTTTTTTGTTTTTTTATAAATTTTTAAATCAAATTTTGAAGAAACTCGTAAGTCTTATGGCCTTTTAAAATACTTATAACCGAATTTAGTTCCGAATCGTTTTTCAATACCAATAATTTTCCAAGAGTTTTCATAATAATTGGGAAAAATTAGGAAAAACCGTAGGAAAACAGGGAAAATTTACGAAATGAATTATTTTCAAATTTTGTTGTGATTCAGTATACAATAGTATTCGTAGAGCCTTAAAATTACGATAGAAAACTTATTAATTTCTTTTCTAGACCTGGTCAAATTTTCAAAACATTTAGGCTATTTTTGAGCTATTTATAAACATATTAAGTTTGCTAGTTTTTTACTTAATTTTTATTCGATAGGTATATTGCGGATAGAATTATTTGACCAAACAGAAATTAAAGTTTTAACAGGAGGTTCATTAAAAGTCGTAATTATTGGTTAATAAGAAAAGTTGACTTTGATGTAATTTCTTTGAAATCGTAACGCTGTCAATTTTGAATTTTTTTCCCCTCGGTTTTTTCCAATTACTTTTTTTACAACGATTTTTTTTCTTATCAGCGCACGATAAAAAATTTAACAAAAAAGGTATTTAGGTTGTTTTTCTATTAGAGCAATGTATTTGGCAGATAATATTTATAACATTATGTGTTCGACCAGAAATCTTGTTTCAATAAAAAAGATAAGAGATTTTTTCGTTTTATTTTTAATCTAGTTAATGAGTAATAAAATCATTTTAAGTTTAATTTTATTATGAAAATCGTAAAAATTAATGAATTTTTAAACATTAAAGTGAACTTCACTTTAAATAATTTTTCATTAGCAATGATTTATCGTTGCATAAACATATACATTAAATAAATTACACTCACGCTTCCCGATTTACCACCTACAACAGTCTTCACACCCATCAGCAAAATTAGCTTTTTTATTTTATCGTTTATAATATATTGATATATCCCATAACATCGCACTTTCTCATTTTTACGTTAGGTTTTTGTAAATTTTTAAATACATTATCCTTCATTTATTGTGAATGCACTCTTAGACGAGTCGCAAAAACGTACTTTAATGACACAGAACTATCAGTGCAACTACAGATCTGCAAACCAAATTGAATATTTGTTGAACGTTCTGTATTATTTACAGACTTGTAAACTAACTTATAAGCCTGCAATTGACTATAATTTACAGAACCAAATTCTTATCTGTATCTCCTTACAGAACGATTTACAAATCGATATTATCATTAATTTATCAATGTGATTATTGCCGAAATTTCTGATCATTTTTTTTTAAATTTCTATACCTATTGCTAAATAGCTAAATAGCTAAATAACTTAACTTAAATTATGGATTTGTTATCTTCATCATCATCAAGTGATGATGAATTTATTATTGAGGTGATGAACATATTACCGAGACCAAAATAAATTAGGGATAGAATGAATCCACTGATTAAGTTTGATGATTTTAAACAATTAAACCTAATGCTTAATAACAAAATAATAAAATGTCTTTTTTTTTTTTTTTGCCACAAATTGTCACAGTTTTATTACTTATAATTAATCGGGTCTTGGTTATCTACTCGAGTAAGGTAACCATAGTTTAGGGATATCAAATATAAATAATTTAGTTAATTCGTTAACTATAGTTATCGTTATATTTTCATTTACAGATTCATTACAAATTTTTTTGTGCAAAACTTTTACATGTTACAGAGCCATTATAATTTAAGGGGTGTTTTTAATATACAGGCGCCTATGTAATATTTTTACAAAACGTTTCTGCTACTCGGCCTTATAAATATACAGTTATTACTATTAGTAAATTTTTGTGTTTTTATATGGTTGTCTATTATAATATGTAGTTAACCGCTAAGCAGTATCTATAATTTGTTTTCTTCTGTACAGCTTTGAGATAAACAAATAAAAACCAAATTATACATATAAGTTGAATCAAAAAATCTTCGATTTTTAAAGGAATGCATTAAGGTTTTTTACGTAAATATTTTTCAAAATGTATGATGCAAATACAAAAATATACATTAAAATTAGAGTAGAGATATGAAAAAGAAAATCGATCGAGAATGATTGAAAAAGAACAGAAAATAATAAAAGATATTACATAGATTAATAAAATATATACTATAATATTTTTCAATCGGAACCAAGTGTTGGTAGACAGTTTTTTAAACAAATATAATAATAATAAGGATGATGTTCATAATATAGTGAACTATTGTAATGTAAACTATTTACAATATTGTTGGCTTCTCATATAGGTAATAAATATAATAAATAATAGAAATAAATAATCATTTATTGTAGTTGGAGTCCGAGTTTAGACGGTGACGAAGTCGGACGATGATGAAAACACAATGCCTATCTGATTAGGTTGGAACCATAGGCCAACTGTTGGGCGTGTTCCTGGATGCTTCTAGCGTAGTGGGCAGAAGGGGCACCGTAGATGCCGGCATCATGGGTAGCTAGGGATGGTGGCGATTCTGCGGCTTTCTTAACCAGCTGGAAGATAGCCAGTCCGATGGATATAACGAACGAGAAGAACGACAGCTGCAGCGCGTTCCAAGCTTTCAGGCCTAACACACCGATGGCGAGCGGGATCAGCGTCAGGGCTTTGAGCATGACGAACACCATGATCGGCATGAGGATTTTCTTGAGCTTATGCCGTTTGCCTGTATATACAAATTCTGTATAATATGTACAGGTAGAAGAGAAAAGTTGATCGAAGAGAAAAAAGAGACGTATCGAAAGATACGATAAAAAGTTTTTATAGTAAATATTTGTTTAAAAGACACTCACTTCGTGGTTCGGCCGAACTGGGCAGTTTTAGGGTCAGACCCAATTCATTTTCATCCAAGTTTCTGGGCGATACGGTCACAGTGGCACCGGCCAATTCGACTGACACGTCCCGTTTCTCGATGAGCTCCTGTAACTGTTCTGTGATTCCAAGTTCGTTGTTCTTTACGTCCTATTGTAGGGAGTGAAAATAAAGTCGAAGATAAGATATAAATACTTTTAAATAAGAACCGCTTTGGGTATTATGACCATTCTGTAATTTGCATTACCTGTGACTTGTCGTTGTTCAACGGCGAGGCGAAGGCGACAGCGGCCAACGCGGCTGCGGACAGAAGCAAACACGATAAACGAACCATGACGCGATTTACGATTTCTGGGTATGCGTGTGTACGATGAATGACTACAGTGGTGAGTGTGGTGTCTAATCGATCGCGTCCTTGGGTTTTATAGGACCTCAACGGACCCAGACTGCGTTTAGTGGGGAGACTCACTCGTATAAAAAAATCTCAGTGTTTTATTTTCCGTAATCGGCACACTTCCTACGGCCGCAGCATATTAATCGTGGGTCTTGGATATATAATATCTGTGTCTCGTGTGCCAGTAAAATCGATAGGTCACTGTCATAACGATTTTAATCACAATAATATGTTTATTATAATAATACAGTAAGAGCGATAATAATAAAACGCACTGCCAATGTTTCGAGCCTCTCGCAGGCATGGAAAGTAGGACCGAAGACGTTTTTCGAGAACGATTTTCTGTAGATATACGATTCGGTCGCGTAGTGTTACTGCAGGTAAAGCAAGTCTATAGATGATCATATTATTATTATTATTACTATAAGGCTGTAAATAAGCTTTAAAAATGTATTTAAAATCCCTAAATAAGATGCAATGCACATTTACAACCATATTTTGAAAATTGACTGTTAGTTTGTCGAAATAATCATTATCTTAATAAATTATGACAAATAAAATGTTTTACTTACATACTATTATACCTGTACTTGTATAGAGCTTGTGTTAAACTTGTTAAACAACAAGGATATCAAATATAAATATGACGTATCAATTGGTCCTTAAAAGTTGAACACATTACATAAATATCAAAAATCAATGATAGATTTTTTACAATTGAATTCGATGTTAAATTACTCAAAATGTGTGTTAAGAAAAAAGCTACGTTTTTATAACCAGCTAAAGGAATACACTTTTTTATAAATTCACAATATCAATTTTAATTATGGTTATTCGATTTAGGATGAACACACTACGTAAATGGTGACCAACCATTTTTTAAAAAGGGCCATAAACAATAATTCTTAGAGGGCTAAGCATTTTAACGTTTACTTTTAACTTAATAGAATATTATATTTTATTGTTATTATTATACTTACATCTAATATAGGTGTAGTGATATATTTAATTATTTATTATGTTTTGGTTGTTATAAATGAGAAATAAAAGTAAAGTACCTATAGATATGTCTTTTTTTTTAATATGTGTGTTATTTTTTACAATATTTTAGTGGGTCGATTAATAAATGATTGTGGTCCAGATAGTTAGTCACCACTGCACTAAGTGATTGAGAAATACATCGAAAACTATGCAATCTATTGCATATTTGAGGCCGAAGAAAATTTCCCCTTCATCACAAGTTCCCAAGTTTTACAATAAAATTTGAATTTTATGTGTGGAATCTGTGGAAACACGTATGTAACTGAGTAGGTAACTTAGAAGGCACTTAATATTGACTCATTTATAACATTAATTATATTATCATGAACCACTGATTAGGTATATTATTGTTATTAACGTCCAGTGGGCAGAGAGTTCAGGATAATACAAATATTAATCATCCCCTTGTAATGTGGACCATTTCGCATATTACTACTAGAAATTATTAATTTTATTCTGTTAATCTATCAATGTTTCAGTTTCTTCTATTACCAATTTTACTTACACGGTGTTTTTCTCATCCCAGTTAACACTTTTTCTATTGGTAAACATACTCCGAAACGTTCAACATCATAATATCGTATCTTAAAATATACGAATTTTTGGCTCAGCGGTACTTTAAGTTTTTATAATACCTATACAACGAATACATGCTCACAATCGAATTTAGGAAAATTTAAAATTATTTTTATGAATTTCAGGTTTCATTCGTTAATCGTTGCTCAAATACGATAATATATTATAATTTATACTATAATCACTTTAAAATTGAAATTAATAATAAACCATCGATTTTTGATTTCCACTCCCTGAGTACCAACCTACCAAATAATAAGGGTTAAATCTGGAATAGAAAATGTTTCCAATTTATCTACATTATTAGTGAAATAAACGAAATAAAAAAAAGACGGATCTACTTTGTACGTGGGTGGACCACTGTTGTAGGTGAGAAGTCGGGAAGGTAGTTGAGAGAAAATTTAACGTATATCTGTAAGCAACGATAAACCATTGATAAACAAAATGGATTCTGAACGGAATTCAGTTATCAGTGTTGCTTTATCAATAATATATATGTCGTATTATGTTAAGATAATTACATAGGTGTTATATAGTTCCTTTAAAAATGTGTTTAATATTGTACCTATGTTTCGTTTTTCCTACGGTTCTTTTTCCCGGTTTTTCGCATTTGCTGGGAAAATTCTTCGAAAATCAAAAAATGGCCTCATTAAAGTACCTCCCTACACCGATTTCCTTTCAGAAGAAAATCGGCTACACTTAAAAGTTGGAGCAAGATTTTTGGTAGAAATGTTCTCCACAAAAAAAAAAAAAAATAAACATCATTGTAAAACTATACTTCTTCGCTACACATAGAATCTAAAAAACACTATAGTGATAATAATGTTACTTGTAAGATATTTTAAAAATAATTTAATTTTAAAAAATTACGACACAGGGTAGTATACAGTTTTCAGAAAAATGAGTCAGGTTAAGTTAGCGTAAAAACCGTAACCAGATCGGTCTACAAGAACACCGCCGTTAAGAAAAAAAAGTTGAATTAAAAATGTAGTTACAACAAACAACGCAGAAAAAAATATTGTTTCAAATTATGTATTTATGATAACCGATCTTGTGCAAACCTCTTCGGGTAAGTAACAAAAAAAGTTAAAAGTATTATAGATGGAAATACCTGTAATTGATATAATACTATAACTTATTTATGTATAGCTGTATTGGTATTAGGTACTTATCGGATATCACGAAAATACGGTTATGGAAAAATAGGAAATACCAAATATGGTATTATGATATTTTAGGAGAGATCAGTTGACAGTTATGAATAAATCGTAGAACAATTTAAAAACATTTTTTGTATCGATTGGCAACATTGAAATATTGTGACGCCCCATATTATACGTTATTTTTATGAATTAACTTGTAGTTCATTCACAGAACACACTGTAAAATAAAAATTTGCTCACTTTCATACTAAATACGACTACATGTATATTACGTATTTTACAATGTACGATGATAGCTGCTATTGTTTTTTGGTTCATCATGTGTGTTTTTTAAACAAGAAATTTTTTCAGACATGTGGGAGACATATGAAATTTTTTAATCTGTTTGTAAATTTGAAAATATCGATCTGTTGACCAAATTTCATCCGAAATAGATTTTTTACACGAAATTTATCGAAATAATGTATTTATTTCCATAATATTGGTTAACTATTATTGGTAATTTTTAACGCTAATATCGTGTAGGTACTTAAAGATGTTTAACTATAAACAATAAAAATAGTTAAAATCACTCACATGGGTAGGCCACTAATGTAGTGATACAATTTTTTTTTTTTACAAGTAAAACCAAATAAAAACTAAAAAAAATAGAAAATTTTAAATATAAGTTTTAAAAATTGTACAATGTCTAGATAAGGCACATATCTGTCATATTATGCAAATTATGCTACGACTATTCAATTAGTATCAAAACTTTGCTAGGCATTTGATAGATTTCACTACAGAATTTTTGAATTTTCTAGGACTCCTAAACCTCGGAAACCCCCAAACAAATATGCCAGTGCTATTTTTGTGGCTTCACTGGCACATTGTCTGATTTCAAAAAAAAATATATCAATTTATTTAGACATATTTTGCTAGGACCCCTGTCGACTACAGGAGAGGTTTCAAATTTATGTGTCAGCACCGGCTTAAGGCTTAATTCAAACCAAAATTATGTTTTTATATGAAAAACATTTTCCCCTTAAACATTCTTTTTACAAATATGCCTATATATAAGATAAAGTCACGGAGTTGAGTGGCTAGTATGGAAATGGTAATTTTCTAGGTGACCTGAAAGGTTAGGTTTTGAACTGATGGCCTAATAATATTATATACCCACTTAATATTTTACTTACTCATATTATTTAAAAACCTACTAATAAAATATTTTGCGTTCACTAAAATAGTTAATATTAAACTTTACTGTACTGAGATAGTAGTCAATGTACCAATATCGAACCACAAACTAAGAAATAAGAATTTTAAAGAGAAAACATTAAATAATAAACGTTTTAAATAAATGACAATAGCAATAATATAGGTAATAAATATAATATAATAAGAACGTGATATTTGGAAATTTTCTAAATTTAGAAATACTTATTTACGTTCTATTATGGACACTGTTCACATTTTTATATAAGGCATGGTCAGGGGTGTACATATTAGAACTTATTTAAGATTAATTTTCTCCTTCTTCCTCTTTGTTGAAGCAAGATCTCTAGTCTGAAAAGTTGTCCTCAGAAAAAAAAATAAACATCTATTTAAAACTATAAGCTTCTTTGCTCCACTCAGAATCTAAAACGATCTCCTCAACCCAGTTTAACCTCCTTACTTTGATGATTGGAAACATTTTTCTGGTATAAAAGTGGATTACATACAGATAAATTGGTGTAAGGTATGCTGGGCTAAGCCCTCTGATGGTTTGATTAAGTTCATTAATTTTAAGAGATGATAATTTTTTTTTTATTCTTATTAAACACGCTCTTTTGTTTTTTTAATTCGAAAATTGATGGATAGTTGGGAAGATAGGATATAGATGGTAATTTACTTTTTGTACTGAATATGTGATAATAAATTATTGCAAACGAAAAAACTATTCTCAGCGTGTTATTATTAATCGTGGTTGTTCCCTTGTTAACAAGGTAACCCAGAAATCGATAAAAAGACAAATTACAAAAAAAATAAAACCTAGATGGCGGACTTAAAACATACATCATTTTTTCAAATAAAATACTACCAGGCGAAAAAGCAAAATAATTTTACTAACCATAAAATGTCCCTCCCCCAAAAAAAGAACACACATCTTTGTAAAACTATAAGTGCTATACTAAGAATCTAAACAAATTATTCACCAATTAATATCACCTTAAATAATTCGTTTTGCACGTTAGGTATGTTATTGGTTTTTATATATGCCTACATATACATACACATAATCTAACAATTTTATCATATCTAGAA